TGCTCTGGAGTCTCTCTGGCCGGCGTGGTCTCACCACGACCCACACACACATACCACACCGTGGGCTACCTGACTTCTACCTGTCTGTCTGAGAGCACTCTCCAAGAGCTATTTTTCTAAAAATCTCTTATCAGTTAGTTGTTAGCCATACAGCTCGCCCCCTTTTCCAAGGCATTGACCCCAAATGAATGAAGACCATTTCAGCAGGTGCCAGAGCCAGCCCCTTCTGAATGCTGGAGCTCAGCAGGGATTTCCGTAGCAGCATAGCACTCTTCTTTTCCATCTGGGATTGTTTTCCACGTGCAGATGAGATGGAAACACCATCCCACCCCACCTCCAGCCACGTCCTAGGCAGTCCCTGAGTGATCTTTGCTCCTTCTCCCTAGCATATTCCCAGTCTTCGCCCCCTCATCTCCCATCCTCTGCACAGTGCATTCCTTGGAAGCAGGCTCACCAGAACACCGTCTCTGGCTCTCTCTTTTATTTGAGGCATGTACTTAGAATGGTGCTTCTGTTCCAAATGAATGAGTTGATTCATTCAGAAGTGCAGTTTCTGTTTTTGAATCAGTGGAGCTGTTTATGCTCATAGGGTCTATAAAACTGTTGTTTTAGTCCTGACACTGATGCTTATGAATAAAATTTAGATCTCATTCAGAAGAGCATTAGCTGTAGCTATTTGGCTGCTTGTTAAAGCTTTAATTTTTATTGAGACGACATTGCCAAGCAGTTCCTTCTGCATCTTGCAGCAACCAAGTACCTCAAAGTGGAGACTTGGGTAGGACCAGATTGCAGCATGTGTCCCCTGGACCCTCAGCTCCAACCGCTCTGTTGGCAACTGCTGGATGACAGTGGGAACCTCCCAGTTCCCTCAGTTGAGCAGGACGGTGGGAGCCAGGGCACTGTGCTCAGTGGAAGGCCTGCCAGACCTGTCAGGAGCTGGCACAGCACTGCTTGCTCATGCCGGGCTGGATGTTGGGTGTTCTGGTGCCAATTAGCTCTCCCATGTATTTATTGCACCTTTTCGCTCGAAGCAAGCTGTTAAATGTCAGAAATACTTTAGCATTTTAGCAGAAAGATAATTTTTTAATAGATTCCACCTACAAAAAGGAGCTGACTGGCAGAATATTAAACTCAGGGAGATTTATTTTTACTCCATGCCTCCAAACAGCTTGAGATAACCATTTCTGCATGGCTCCTGGCTGATTAATGCTGCTGTCTCTTGCTTGTCCTCCTCACTTGGTGCTGTGGCAGCTGTGGCCTCTCACATCCCATTAACCTTGTCTGCAGAAGGGACACCTGGCCAAGGCGAAGAATTAGCCCTTGTAATTAGGAATGTAAACATCCCACACTGCCTACTAACATCCACCCATCATTCCCCACCTGCTCCTGGTTCTTGTTAGGGCAGGATACCCCCCGATGGGCTTTTCCCATCATCCGCTTCTTACACACCAGCTTCCAGTCGTTTCTAGATGAGAGTCATATAAAGCCCAAATCAAACCCAAAGTAGCTTTGGTTCTTCAGGGATTAAGGGGAGTGTGTTTTGTCGCTGCTGGTTGTGCACTTGGAAAGGGGCACCGGCCAGTAGGGTTTGCTGGAACTGTGTGGTAAGTCTGTCCTCTCCCTTAGCAGGGCTGATGGATGCCCAGGACTCATGCTGGCACCAGCTGAGCAATTGTGTTCTTAGCGATGGTGATGTTTGTACCTGGGTGCTGTAGCTGGTGGCACAGCATCAGGTGGGCCCCAAGTGTTTCCACAGGAGCGCTGCCTGAGGTCGTGCAGGGATATCACCTGTGACCTCTGCCTGTGACCCCAGGTTTGATTTTGGGGCAAAGCTGTACCAATCTGTTCTCAGTGTCAGTAGTAACTCCTTGGTGCTGGTTGGAGCAATTGAGTTGTTACTCATAATACAGCAGGTTCTGAAAAATCAGGTAACTTTGTTTTTTGGTGATATAATGAACTGTTTTGAGTGATGTTAGATTTAATGGCTAAATCAATGTGTGTATTTAGTGTTAGGCTTTATTTTAGCACTAAGTGACATGAGATAAGCAGACTTAGAGGGTGTTAATTGGTTTGTGTTTAGCATTTACACTAATCAGAGTGTGCAGTGCTGCCCAGGGCTCTTCAGCACTAGCAATTCTGTTTATCCAAACCATGAATTGTTTACTCTATTGACTGGAGTGGCATTGGGCTGTTTTTTCGCTCACTTGGATGTTACACTGCAAGTGTGAATTAATGGAGAGCCCTGGCTGACCCTGAGTGGTGCCACACACGGTGTGTGTGGGAAAAGGTGGCTCAGCAAACCCTGACGAAACAGAACATGACCAGGTCCCTGCACAGGCAGTGTTGCTCCAGCATTATAAATAACAGAGTTTATTTTCCCTCCATGGCTGACGTGCGTCTCCATCTTCATTCCGAGCAGTGCAGGAGCGAAGAGGAGCCCACACTCCCTGTCCCAACCCTCTGCCTTTGACAATCAAGATGGAGCTCCCATCACCCCATTCCTGAACGGATCCACTGCTGGTGCCAGGGTGCAGTGAACCACACACGTGAGATGGGGTTTATGGGCTGAGATGCTGTGGCTGTGCTGCCCAGGGAAGGATCCTCCCAGGTCTGCTGGGCAGTGTGGATGTAGCCTGTGGATGTGCAAGAACACACCTCCACAGTTGTGGCTGGGCTGCCTGGCCTGGGCTCGCATCTGTCTCATACTGGTGGAGCAGATGTCTGGCCAGGAGCCCATCGGAGCGTCCCGGGCGCCAGGGACAGCACACCCCGGCCAGCCGGCAGCGCACGGCACGGCTGCCTTCAAAATGGCTTGGAAACAGCCTTGCCACTGCTCTGTTCCCATCACCTGGCTGGTTTTATTAGAGTTGGTTTTGGATCATTTAGTTTTTATTCAAACATTCACTTCCCAGCTGAGGTCTTGGAGAGCTCTAGCTCCCTGGACTGGTGATGAGCCCCTGGAAATGGAACTGCTTCCAGGATGTGCTGACAGCCCTTACTGCTGCTGGGAGCTGCCTCCTGAGCCATCCCTGGCCCTCCCCTCTGCAATCCCAGTGCTCGCTCTGCTCCTGAGCCCCTGGCTCTTGCGGGGACAGGTGTGAATCACCTGTGAGAACCAGTGCTATGGTTCCCCAGCAAGAATGTTCTGGGTAAGGGAGGTCAGACACACCACAGGCTGCTCCTGCTTCAGGCTGCTCTAAGCTGTGCTGTGAGGCACAGCAAGATGAATTCCCTTTTATTTTGCAAAGTGCTGTTTTATTGATTTCTGCCAACCAACCCCCAGCTGGGTTGCGGTGCCCCTACAGTGCCCGGGGGTACTGGGGGAACCTGGAGTCACGTTGTGCGGAGCCGCAGCAGTGTCGTGACAGTTCCTGGGGTGGACACTAAATCACTGTGTGAGGGTGAGCAGAGGGATGTCACTGGGGCTCGGGGAGGAAGCTCTCTTGTACCGTTTGCACTGACTGTGTGATCTGAGTCAGAATGAGAATCATAAATCTTGATTATTCTCTGTCTCAGCTGATTTGAACCAAATGCCTTGGATGGGGATATAGTTCACATCTCGCTGAAAACTGCAAAAAACCTGATTAAATGTACAAACTGATATCAATAGCACTCTATCTGTGTTAATGCCCAAACTGTCAGCACTTGGGGAGAGGATCCCATGTGGATGGGCTCTGACCCAACCCAGAGCAGCTTCCTGGGGCCTTTCAGAGCAGCTTTCTCCCTGCTACCATTTATTTTGGTACTTTGTTCCTGCAATGCTAGCTGTTATTATGATGCTGTCAATTACAGATGGCATCTCTGATTCTGATTGCACTTTGCTTACAATTAAGCATCCTATAGAAAAATGGAAATGCTGGGTCATTAACATAGTGTGATAATAAGGTAAACCATTCAATTATGGAGGAAAAAACACTTTGAATAATAAGGATATTGTATGCCTAAAAGACATACAGATGCCAATGTATTACCATTTTTGCATACATAATAAATGAACTTAAACCCTGAAATAATTGACAGAAGCAAATAATTAATAGCTGTGCCCTCAGCAGCTGCCTGGCTGGCATTGCTCCCTCCAGGGGCAGAGGAGCAGCTCCAGGAAGGGAATGGAGGAGTCTCAGATCTGCGTGGTCCTTGTGGTCACTGTGGGATGTGCCTTGGTTACCACAGAACTTGTCTGATGCTGGAACTGAGGTGGTTGCCACTTGCATGGGGAGGAGGCTGGCATGGCATGGTGGTGTGTATTGCTGCCTGGAATGGCAAGTGGAGGGCCAGGCTCTGCTCTCTGCTCAGGGTGTCTGCTGGGCTCCAGGGGCTTGATGCAAACTCTGGCCCGCTGTAGGTAAAACAGTGGGGTAATGTGCTTTGGACAGCTGCGAGGTTTAATGCAGTTGGGAAGATCTTGCCACCCAGTGTCTATGTGGAGGGATTTGGGACTGGCCTTGCTCCAGCATCTGCTGTCCCCTGAGAGCCTGTCACCTCCCCACCTGCCCCCTTCACCTGCTCAGCCTGCAGCACTGGTGGCCTGCATGGACCAGTCTTGTTTACAACTAGAAAGGGAACGTGCAGGTGGGAAGGTGCAGAGAGTCATGCTTCTGGCCACTAGCTTTGACTAGCCAGGGGCTCCTGTGACAGCCTTGATGGTGGTTTTGTGTCCAGCCTTTCCATGCCAGTGGGGTGGGAGCCCCTCTCCCATCCCCGTCTGCCAGAAGCGCTGGAGCTCTGCACGGGATGTGTTTTCAGCCTGTTCGGCAGTATCGCTCCTCTATAACAATTGTCAGCCTTTTAGCTGTTGATGGCTCACCTATTACTCTGGCACTGTGTTAGAATAACATCCAGATACATCTGAAGAGTGGAATTTATTTACTGTTTTCCCTGAAAAGCTTTTAGCATGATACAGCCACGGTGCTTTCACTTAGGCAGCCGTTATTGTGAGAGTGTTTTTCCTGGTATAAGTAAATTTTCCAGAAGATGAAAAAGGACTCCTCATGATGTGTAGCTCCAAACCACTACATTTTAATATTCTATTTTCATGGCCTTCCCTCCCAGGAAAGGCACATCTTTGGGAAACTGGAGTAGGTTTGAAATGCCCAGATGAGCCTGATCCGTGTTTAACATCAGATGCATGGTGTGCACACAGCTCTCCTGCTCACCTGTAGCTTTCCCAAATCCAGCTGACTGTTCCAGGAAGCACAGCCTGCAATACTGTGGGCTGTGTTGTTGACAGTCTTTGAAACTTCCACGGGCATCAGTTAGCAACCAGCAAGGCCAAGCTGGACGGGAGCTCTCCTGCACGGGTGTCCATGCGGGTTCCTGCCACTGTGCTTGGGGTAGGAGGACACAGCTGGCGATGAGGGGCTCATCATGCTGTGTACTGGCAGAGTTTCCAGATCAGAAATCCCAAGGGAGTGGGAGGTGAAGGTCTGCAATGACTGCTGCCAACAAGGTGCACTGGACTGCACGTTTCAGAGAGGATTTCTGTCCTGCGAGCAGAGATGGCACGTGCGTGGGCATTTCATGTAACGCAGGCCCATTGTAGCTGCAGGGGCCTGGGGACTGGCACAGGGAAGGCAAAAAATAGTGGAAAGTGAGTGAGCTGTCACTGAAGGGACTTGAACCCCTGTGTTGAAGGGAAAGCTGGACTGGGAGCAGACTACCTTGACTTGAACATCCTCAGTGAGAGGAGGCAGGACACCACTGCCTGCCCGTAAGTCCTCGTTCCAGCGCTGTGCAAGAAGCTCAGACTAGGGCTGCTTTGCTATAACTGTGACAAATATAGTAATTAAATCTGGTAGATGACACTAAGAGATTCCCTGTGAATAGGATTGTAGTGCTTCTGTAGAGAACGGTAGTGAGGCTTAGTCAAAACAATTTTGACAGCACAGGGGTTAGAAATAGGCATTTTTCTGCCTTTTTTACAACCTGTTTCATGGCTGCATGCTGACCACCAATAAATCTTGCACTAAAATTGGAGAGATTGGGCCAAATTTATCCCTGGTCAAACAGTGTCACACTGAACATGCATCTCCATCCACAGAGCCAAGCAAAGCTGAGTGGTGCTGAGGACTGTTTGTGACACCCAGGGCCGTGTGTGCTGGCACAGATATGCTGAGTGCTCCCAGCCATGCCAGGAGCTCCTCAAGTGCAGGAGCCAACACACCCCTGTGCATCCCACAGCTGCTGACGAGGAGGGCAGTGGAACCCCACAGCACTAACCTGAGCCTGTCCAATTTGTATGAGAGCCATGCAGTCAGATAGGCAAAGGATTTTGGCACAAGGCAACAGCCATGTCCCAGAGGAGATCCACTTGGGGAAAGAACAGAAGAAAGCAAGATTTAGCATTTAGATCATAATTTCAGATTGCATTGTGTGAGCATCAACAGTCTATACTCATGAGAGCCTTGGGGAACACAATGCTGCAACAGCTCTCCCAGCCAGCCTGATCAGTGAGGGTTGGTTTTAATTGCAGCTGAATGGATCTAACCTTGTGATGTCTGTTCACAAAGCATTGTTGGATTAATACAGGTTCCATAGTTGCTTCTGCTAAAAGACTTTAATGGATCAGCTTAGTTCTCTGTCCATGATTATAGCATCCCTACCCGCCTATCATGCCTGAGCCAGATGGTCCCAGTGAAATCAGAGCATGTTTATATTTCTGTCTGCTACTCAGCCACCTGCCCACTGATTTTGTTGCATAGTGGTAGGAGGAGAGGAGCCTTCCCGGGTGCAGTTTGCCCACCCCTTTCCCTAGCCCCAGTGTCTGCCCCACCTCCTAAAAGACCCTGGAGGAGCCATGGAAGGACCTTCCCTCCAGGGTGCCCAGGAGGCTCACCCAGCTGGCCGGGAGGGCAGACACCCTCCTGGGCAGCAGCATGGCATCAGCTCCTGGCATGGAGTCAGCTGCTTCCCAGGGCACTGGGGGATGTTTCCAGTTCTGTCAGTGATGAGAGCCATTAAGAAGGTACAAGTACTAAAGAGATCCTGAGCGATGCCTATAAAACCTTTGAATCCCTGACAGAATCAATAGCAGGTTCTCAGGAGTAACTTCTTATCCAGGCCAACTTAAGCACATGCCAATGAGCCGTTAAAGATTTTGCATTTTGTGGAGACACAGAAGCCCTTTCATTGTGATTTTTGGACTGTAGACTAGGTGAGATGATGAAAAATCACATTAGAAATAGGCTGTGCCCCAAAGGCATTTTCCTCAGTGTCTGGGAGAGTGGCTTGAATGATGCTTGTGGGTGGAATCATCCCTCCAGGCACGTGCCCTGCACCCCTGGGCTGGGGAACCGAATCCTTTGGGGATTGCCACAGTGAGCAGCACTGACTCCTGGCCGTGTCTGCCAGGACAGCAGAGGAGGAGGAGAGGGAAGAAGGAAGCAGGGGAGCTGTGCCCCATGAAATGGAGGACCTGGGGCTGGCACGTGGGATACAGCCAAGCTGCTGCAGTGCCCTGAACCATCCCACCACCCCAGGAGGAGGAGCCGTGGGTGGCCTGGGCAGGTAGACGCCCACTGGGGTGCTTGCAGCCTCCGGCCGGGCACTGCCCCCTGCGCACACTTGCCACCTCTTGAGTACCTTTGCTATCGACACCATTTCCAATTTGGCATCTCGGTTGCCATGGCAACTCAGCCCTACCATTCTCTGATCCGATCAGCTCACAGTTAGTCAACACCCGTTAGCACCTGCGTTGGTATGGCAACCCAGGGCCGTGCTCCATCCCGGCCGATGTTGTGGATGGAGAGATGGCTCCAGGCGGCCCCCGGCAGCAATGGGGGCATGACTGGTCCTGCTGAGGGGCACTGAGACACTCCCAAGCCCTGACTGCTTCTTATTGCCTGGCTGCAGTGGGATCTGTGGCTGCCCCCACTCTGGCTGTAGCGTCCTGGGTTCCCACATCCTGCACGGCCTGGGAGACACTGGGGAGAAGCTCAGCAGGGATGTGGCTGGCATGGGGCAAGGAACTGTCCTTGCAATCTCAAACTGCCCCTCGTGAGCATGTTCTGCATGGACACCAAATGGCCTGGGGAACTCTGGGAAGGGGGGAAGCTCCTTGTCTTGGAGACAAGGGGAAACCAATGGTATAGGCAGCCATCGCTTGAGGATTCTGAGTCCTGAAAAAGCAGAGCTCAAGTCACAGAGAAGGATGGTTCACTCCTTCTCCCAGCCACCAGATTCCTAACCATTAAACTCTTCCAGTGAGTCTCCTGTGGACAATTTGTGTTCCTTTGGCCCCAGTCTGAACTGGCACCCGCTTTTCTGAAAGTGCTTTACAATTTGCGTTTAATGGTTTTTAACAGACATGTGCGAGCCGTTTGAATTAGAGCAGTGTGAATCTATTAGGCAGCGACAGATGCAAGTTTTGTGTCTCTTATTAGAAGGGATTGGCTTCTGAGGTTTAGTGATGTGCAAAGGATTGGACTTTGGAGAGATTAAAATTATTTTCAGCGTTAAGCACAATATTTCTGAGCTAATGCACTCACTCTTGAATATAGATTCACAGACCGAAAAGATTATAAAACATTAAACCTATGTAAATTCAGCTGTAAATTTATGTTTGAACAAATTCAACAAGAGATTTGACTCGGGGGCTTACAGCAAATGGGTTCTGCTTTTAATGCATTCTGCAGGCTCAGTTGCAATGCCGCTCTCCCCTTGAAAGTCCCACGCCTGTTGAATTATTGGCAGGTCACAGCTGACAGCTCAAGCAATTATACCAGAATGTGTTAATAATAAAAAGGAAAAGGACTTCATGTTTGTCTTTTCAGAAGACAAAAGCAGATGTTTATTCCACTATGAGGAAGCTCTGTGGGCAGGTGACACTTGCAGTACCTGGCCATCACCTCTTTCCATGGCAGTCCTGCAAATCCATGTCCTCCTCTGCGGTTCCCCAAGCCCCTTAGCTATGAACTTTTTCTCTTGTTGAAAACATGAAAATACAGTTAACAAAGACTCCTTTTGAGTGGGATTGCAGGAAACCTGCAACGTCGTGAACAAGCTGCCTACACAGAGATAAATGACAGCTGTGACTGAAGGAATAAACAAGATAATCTGGATTTAAATAAACCACAAGGGGATTTTGGCAACATGCAAATTCACAAATTTATAAAATGTATCCTTTGAAAATAGAGAGCTCGTCTGAAGCCAGCAGTTAAGAACAATTACTACAGCACATTTTCCCAATGAGAGCTTAGAGCTGGCCTCTGCCTCAAGCTAAGGCACGTGGGAGCCAGGGGTCCTGCCAGCTGCCCGCAGTGGCTGGGGCCCTTCCATGCACAGAGCAGAAACATGAAGGAGTGGTGGCAGCAAGTCCCCGTGCAGCCTGGGGGCCTGGGGGTGCACAGAGGAGCCTGGCCCTCCTCAGCCTCTGGGCACAGCACTGGGGAATGAACAGGGAAGGAGAGAAACATCAAAAGCCCAAGCAAGCACCCAGTAATACATATTGGATCAATCTGCTTGGAGGACCAGGTAATTCCTGGACCCAAGTCCCACGTGAGAGTTTCATTTTGGCATTGCACAGCTCAGCAATGCTGCACCAACAACACAAGGGGATGACGTGTGCCCCATGAGGCAGCAGAGGGCTTCATAGAATCATAGGATCAGCTGGGTTGGAAAAGACCTCTGAAATCACCAGGTCCAACCCTTGATCCAATACCACCGCGGTTACTAGACCAGGGCACTAAGTGCCACATCCATTCTCATCTTAAAAACCATGGCTTGTCCATGCCAGTGGCAGTGGAGCTCCTGCCAGGGGCTCGTTGTAATTGCTCCCCTTTTTCAGGTGGGCAGCAATAGAGATGGAGGAGCGACAGGTGGGGAGACAGCAGTGACAGGACCATGAGTAGACGTGTCCCATTCCAGCCCTTACTTCCTGGGCTGCTCTGCGGAGGCATGTCGGGTGTGGTCACAGCATGGCTGTGCCTCTTCACCAACCAGCCTGGCCTCAGAAGGGACAGAAACGCTGCAGGGAAAGCCCAAGTGTGTGCCAAAGGCTACGTGTCCCCTCCAGGAGCAAAGGCACAGCCCCATGCTGCAAACTACTCTGCAGCAGCCGCCGCAGGAGAGCGATGCAGCATCGCTCTGCCCGAGCACACGGATCTGGTTAGCATTCCATCGGCGCACATGCAATTAGGGCAGAGCACATGGCAGCAGCTCTCTGAAGGTTAACTGCTCTGAGGAGCATTCCTGCCGTGCCAGCGGCTGGGCTGCTCCAGCTTTAACACCCTTGTTATTCCCAGCAGCAGGAGCCGGCGGTGCCGTGTGCCGCTCTCTGGCAGCAGCTTTTGAGTGCTACAGGCTGTGTGCAGGGCCCCTGGCTCCGAGGCTGCAGGCTCAAGCCCCCCTCACCAGCACGGTGTAGCTAGGCACCTGCCCCAACAGGGCAGCAGCTGGGAAGGGACTCTGAAACATGGCAGAGTTTGGGGAAAAGCCTTTCTGCGTGTACATCCCAGAGCCAGAGTTGTTCCAGGCTCCGCAGGGCTGAGGTGTCTCGAGGACTCACTGCAGCTCCCAGCTTTATCCTCAAAACTGTACAGCAAAAGCTGAATCTGCTTTCCCTCCTCTTTTCCTTGATCTCTGCTTCCCCGCTGTCTCTCCTCAGCACCAACCCGTCCATCCATTTGTCTTTATTGTGCACAGAGTTAAACATGGTCTTTAAATGTGGCAACACTTCCAGATTATTAGCTCTGCAATTTCTTGGCTCATGTTTATTGTGATGACATCATCTGAAGGGGCCATTGTAATTAATAGTTTGTTCATGCCTCTTTTATAAACCCCCAGTGTGTTGTTTATACGAACCAAACCAAACACCCTGGGGTGACTGGTGCTGCTGTGGGGAACGGACACCCCGTGCTCATGAACAGACACCCTGTGATCATGGCCCTGGTCCTTTCTGGAGGTGAGTCACTCCCCATCCTCCACTGCCAGCCAATAGCCCGGGCTACGAGAATGGGCACGGAGCGATGCTGCCAGTGGCAGCCCCTGGCGGCCAACAGCCCTCCTCCTGCTCAGCCCCCATCTCTCCTCCCTCCTGTCACTGCTCTGTCCCAAGAATGAGACATAATTTCTACCCCATCTGTCAGAGGCTTGTGGTGAGCAGCAGGGAGCACCTCTGCTCCTGTTGTCCTCCGGGCAAGCGCTGCTGCCCACGTGCTCAGCCTCCTGGCCTCATTTTCTGTTCACTTTCCTCACACCAGTCCCTCACACCACCTCGTGCTTGGCCAAGGGCACCCTGTGGGCACCCGAGGGCTCATCTCTGATTGTACCGTGGGCTTGCTGTGATGTGCGTAGCCATAAAAGCTGCTTCCTTCCCACAGGGCTGTTAAATCCAGGTGCTGGATCCCCCCACAGAAGCTGGTGTGTAATTCTGCAAATGCTCACATACCTCTTAATTTGTTCAGGCTTTTCTTAAAGGAAAAAATACCTCAAGATGTATCGTTCTGACTAATCCTTGTTCCCTGCATGTCACTGCTACTCAAGTGGCTGATGCGAGGCAGGGATGAAGCACAAGAGTGCTCTGGGCAGAGGAGAGGACTGCAGGCACCTTGCCATCAGGAAGGCAGCTCCAGTGGGGCCTGATGCCAGAGGGATGGGCTTCCTGGAGAGCCTGGCCACCAGCATGCTGTCTCTGAGACAGGGAGCTGGAGCCCTGCAGCCCTGCGTCCCCACAGGCCCCATTGCTGGGACTCAGATAGAGACTGTTCAGTTGGAAAGGTTCTGCAGCAGGAGAGGGGCAGCCACAGGAACTACTGGTCTCTTCACCCAAAATGCTGAGGGCACTGGAAGCCCTGTGGCAGCCCTTCGCCTCCCCCAGCAGCACCTCAGCAGAACAAGCCTGGCACGACCACAAATTATGGGGGAGGTTAAAGCCATCCGATGCCTTTAGCAGCCACAAATACGAGGTTACACTGACAGGCACATCTAGCTGGGCTGTGCCTGTCAGCTGCTTCTGCTCCAGGCTTCAGCCATGTGATTTCTGAAATGGGTCTTCCTGACGCCCAGCAGTTTGACGTCAGCATCGCTGTGGTTGCTGCTGCCCCAGGTGCTCTCACAGAGCCATTTCCAGCCTATTCACATTGTTTCCTCACCATATGTTTGTACTAAAAAATAGTTGCAATATGAAGGAATAATCCTGCAAGATCTGGGCATGGCCAGCCTGCATGTGCCACAGGAGACCTGCCTGGTGCTGCGAGCGCTTCCCAGGAGCGCTTCCTCGGCACCGTGGCAGGGCTGGGGCTGCCCACAGCTGGGGCCACGGCACAGGTGGGCATGGGCAGTGAGCAGGGGCCCGGCTGGTGACACAGCCACCAGCCCCTCCAGCCCCAGGCAGCACAGGAGGTGTGAACAAGGCAGTGGCGCTCTTGCAAGGGACATCACTAAGTACCCTCTGGCTCACTATGATAATCCTTAACTGGGGGCACTGGGACAAGCATTTACCTCTTCATTTTCTTAGCCATAACTGCTATTTCACTGCAGTTTCATTTCACAACATGGTAATATGCTATCCAGGAAAATCTTGCTACATGCTAATTTATCCAGTAGGCAAATTCCTTTTGGCTAATAAAAGGGCTTGCACGGGAAGCTCAAAACCCAGCAGCAATTAATTATTGACAGAGCATGTGAATTAGAGATAAAAGAAAAGTCATTCTTTCTCACACACAAGATAGTAAATAAATTTAATTATTGTACTAGAAGCAAGGGATCTTATTCTGTATTAAGTTTTATTAGCTGAGACATTTAAAAGCATGTCATCATAACAAAAAGGTCCTGTGTAATCCGAACTGCGCTGCTCTGTACAGCAGCTCTGGAATGAATAGGCTTAATTGAGCAAATGGGAGCAGATGGCTTCTGAACAGGCAGGTATTGTGCAGGTTTAGTGTCAATTAGCTTTGGTCTACGTATGCCTATGGCAAATTGCCTGTATAATGTGTCACCAAGGCTGACTTAACATTTCAGGTGCCCACCATGGCCAGGGGCTGAGAAGAAACAAAGCCAGAAGTGTTTGGGTCTGTGGGACCTATGGGAGTGACAGCATCCCTCCTCCTGAACATCCTGCCAACACTTGCACAGGGCAGGAGGGACGCTGGGATGCCCACCCCTGCCTGGCCCCTCACTAACCCCCTCCTCTGTTTCTGCACAGGAATGTGATGCCCAAGACGCTGGATGGCCAGATCACCATGGAGAAGACCCCCAGCTACTTCGTGACCAATGAGGCCCCCAGGCGCATTCACTCCATGGCCAAGGACACGAAGCTGATCGTGGTGGTGCGGAACCCGGTCACCAGGGCCATCTCGGACTACACGCAGACCCTCTCCAAGAAGCCGGAGATCCCCACCTTCGAGGTGCTGGCCTTCAAGAACCGGACTCTGGGGCTGATTGACGCCTCTTGGAGTGCAATCCGCATCGGGATTTATGCCCTGCACTTGGAGAACTGGCTCCAGTACTTCCCCCTCTCCCAGATCCTTTTTGTCAGTGGTGAGAGGCTCATCACTGACCCAGCAGGGGAAATGGCCAAAGTCCAGGACTTCCTAGGCCTCAAAAGGATTGTGACAGAGAAGCATTTTTATTTTAATAAAACCAAGGGGTTTCCCTGTCTAAAGAAGCCAGAGGACAGCAGTGCTCCCCGGTGCTTGGGCAAGTCCAAGGGTAGAACTCACCCCAAAATAGACCCAGATGTCATCCACAGACTGCGGAAATTTTACAAACCCTTCAATGTCATGTTTTACCAAATGACGGGCCAAGATTTCCAGTGGGAGCAGGAAGAAAGTGATAAGTAGAAACACAAGGTCAGGAAAAAACCTTTTTTTTTTTTTTTTTGAGATGGGAGTCATCATTTGAGACTCAAAACTCACTCGGGGCCAGAGGCTCAACCCTGTGCATTCCAGGTTCTTGTGCTGTCTGGGCTGCAGCCAAAGTTGCTCAGCGTGTCCACTCCTGAAACTGCAGTGGCTTGTCACCTCGGGCTGCTCTCGGGCTCTCCCCACCACGACAGTGGGGGTCAAGGGTGGGTGGGAGGAGGAGGAGGCAGAGGGAGCAGGGCTCCTTGGGGTGATGGGGTACTTTGTGTTGACATTTCACTGCTGGTGTCCCCCTTGCCGCCAGGCAGGCAGGACCAGGCTTCCTGCCACAGTGAACTGGGTGGGAGGGCAGCTCCCAAAACCCAGCACTGGGACAAACCCATATATTTGATTTCTCCTGCCCTGGATTTTAGTTTTTCCCAAACAACGGCATCAAGTCTGGTAAATTCACACCGTGTGCACTCATATGCACACTGCTCTTAGTGTGTGGAAGGAATGAAGCCAGTTATGCTGCAATGGAACTATGTACAGGAACTTCATTTGCACCACATGTTTCAATTACTTGTTGCACTAAAACTAGAATTTACCAAGTGCCACAAACACCTGGGCCCAGTTCTCCTCCGACTGGTACATCTCCACTGTTGGAAGAGAGTTGTTCCTGCTTTGCTGGGATGCTCAGTGAGGTCAGAACTGGGATCCCCCCAGACTCTCACCCTCCTAGAAGCTGAAAGAACATTCCCCGGGTTTCCAGGAGCAAGCCAGGCTCCCAGTGCCCGGCCAAGGCACAGCGTGAAGCCACACCTTGTCTGTGCAGCACCTCCTGGTGAGGCCATGCCGTGCCCTGCTCACGGTTCAGAGCCGGGCGTTCCCGGGGGTGGCTGCAGGGCAGAGGTCTGAGGACAGCCCCAGCACAGGGTCTGACCATTGGGACCCCTGGCACTGCTGTTCATTTGCACCTTGAAAATGCAATCCCTGCTGCTTGCTGTGGACAGCTGGGGTTGCAGAACAGGGAAGCAGCCTTCATCATACTTCAGAATTACAAAACAGCAATTAATTCCCAGGGCAAGCACTGCTCAGCACACAAAACCTGTGCTTTCTAGTGGAAACGGCCAAGTCAACTAAATTTGCAAATCCTGGTAGAAATTGTCGACTAAACCTATATCCCAGCTGGATCCTCCCAACGCCATGGGAGCTGCTTGCTGGGCCCAGCAGAGAGCAGGAGCAGTGCTTCAACACAGCTGCAGGGTTCCACCTCCATCGCTGAGGAAAATGAGAGAGAGAACAGGCAGAGGGAGAACAATGGGGAAGAAACACAGAGCTGCTGAAACGGTCCCTCACCCGCTTGGATACTGCCGGCTGCTCCCTTTGCTCTGATGAGGGCTACAGATGCCTCCAGGGTGGGATGTAATGACATGCAAGCTCCGTGCTGTTGGACAGCAGGTCCCTGGCAGCATGGAGAGCGGGATTGCTGCAGGAGAACCAGGACTCAGCTCTGATTAATGTAGAACTCCCTACGGCTCCAGCTAACCAGATGAAATCAGCGTTGCACTGGGTGACAAGCTGAACCTACTTGGGGTTCCAGGGCCTGTCGTGTGGTTCATTACACCGTGAAGTGGTGCCTTGTATTGGATGATAAAAGCTGAAGCCATTCAGACAATTTACTGCACGGGCCATGCTGGAGGGGCACCACAAGGTCCCTGCTGATGTCACGTCAGTTCCCATCAGCCTGGTCAGATTTAAAATCAGCTCCTGACATAGCACAGTTTTCAGAAAACCACAAACTTCCAAATTATTACAGGAAAATTAGAAGTATGTAATAGGAATAATTTTACAGTGCTTCACATATTATTAAAATGTCAGAACAGGTCCTGAACTAAACCTGTTGTTGCATAATTTGGATTTGGTGCAAGATACTTATTGGAAGATGAGGAGCTCCAGGCCCAATGTTCCTGTCACCAGAGGGATATCCAGGAATCTCTGCCTGTGTCCAGCATGCTGCAGTCCTGGCACAGTGTTGGGCTGGCCCTGGCGGACAGTGGAGGTGGTGGACTGGTGGCCCTGGCTGCCCATCAGAGGGGCTCAGCCCCAGGGGACGATGGTTCTTGGGTGGGCCGGGGAGACGCTGTGCCCACTGCGCCTCTCCCGCCTGCCACCCCACATCCACTCCTATTATTTCTGCCATATATTCAGAGGTTTATTTTTTATACCAGATGTCATCTCCAGCTTGGCAGGAGCTGATGTGTGCCCAGTGGGAGAGGAGACCCCGCTCCCCTGCCCTGAGCGGCTGCCCCATGGACACCAACCACTTCAGCATGGTGGGATAGGACTCCCCTGCCCCCAACCCTTTCCTGAGGTACACACCAGGCACTCTGGGGTGGGCTGGGGGCACAGGGACTGGGGGAGGTTATTCTGTTTTGTTCTTCTGAAATGCACGCCATGGCTGCTGCACTGTCACCAGGGCTGGAGGGAGAATTATTTTCTATATGGCTGGAGAGTGGTGTGCCAAACGAGAGTCAGGTTAGTAACACCTTTTTTTTTAAACTATTCAAATGTCAGCATTAGAATACACAGGAAATTGAATTTTGTATTTGGTTTCAATTAGCAAAGCATAAATTATATTTAATTTTATATACAGACTGGGCGATTGATTGTTCTGGAAAAGCTGGTACTTTCTGGTTCAGAGACTGAAAATGGAGAGTTGATCTGTTCTGAACCCAACCTGCTGTGCTGTCGCCTCCTCCCAAATGCGTCTCTGTCGGTCGGTGTCTCTGTACCTGAACGACATGACCGTCTGGAACTGAACCCTGGAACCCACAGCACTAGACAATAAATCGTTGTAGCAGCTGCATTTCTCGACTCCGTTTCTCTTGGACCCCCTCAGCAGCACCAACACCCCATGAGTGGGAGCCGCGACAGGACAGCCCTGGCCATGATCTGCCACCTGCCAGCCCAGCTGGCTGCCCCTTCCTGCCCCATGGGCCACAGCTCCACCACTGCCAAAAGGGCCATACTGCAGCCAGGACCAGGAGGAGGACCAGGACCACCTTGGCCAGCCCGTGTGTCCTGCAGTGAGGTTTGTCCCTGCAGTGGGGGACAGCTTTCCTCACTGACTTTGCAGCTTGGGGTGCACCTCCCAAGGTCACAAAGAACAAATCCCCAAGCAATGCCTGGGAAGTTTCAGTTGCTGATTAAGGATAAGTCAGTGGATAATAAAAGGAGAGAGAGGGCTGGCTGCCAGGCAAAGAAATTAGGAGGAAATTTTTTTAATCTTATTTTGTGTGCACAATTTCCTGCTCATTTGAAAAAGGTTATTTCGCAGCAGAGCCCTATTGTGTCATCTGATAAAAACCACGGAAAAACTTTTATCAACAAGATTAGGAAGTAGTGAACTATAAAATTGCTAATTATTTTCTGGTAAATTTACTTTTAAATAACTTTAGACACCAATTACAGGCACCATTAAGCACCATTAACACTGGGTATATTTACCAAACAGGGATGGAATACTTATTCAAATCAAGATCGTTTTGGTGTAGACTTTGCTGTTTGGAAAGCAGCCCCTTCTCACCAGATGTTTAAAAAGCCATCGGAAGATCAATTACACCTCAGGGTCCTAATCTTTGAGTTGTGGTGTGGTATAATTCGGCCCTTGAAGGATACACCTGTGAGCAGGGACTAGTGTCCTGAGGAGGTGCCCCGGCAGCATCCGCGCCTTAACGTGGCACTGAGGCCAGTGTACTCCTCTCCCCCAAGCCCCGAGAAACGAGTTCCATATTCAGCTGATCCAGCTGTCTCTTGCAACGCCTCAGTCTCTGCTCCGAGCAGGATTCTACCCCCCTTGGCCCACCCTGTCAGAGGGCAGCGAGCGCAGCTCTCGTGGCAGCCGCTGCCCTGTATCTCTGCAATGCTGTAGCTGGGAGCCTCCCGCTGCCTCCTGGGATTTGCTCTTCAAAGTGTTCACCAGTTCCCCATGCCCTCGGGAGCGTGTCCAGCCAGTGCAGTGCCGCAGGCTGCCCCAGTGCTGCATCTTGGCTCCCGGGAGCAGGCGCCGGGTGCTCTGCACTGCGATGAACACCAGCACACACCTCCTAATTGGAGGTTGCCAAGCGGCTGTCAGAGAGCTGGCTGCAAAGCTGCTACCTGCTCCCACTTTTCCTGCTGTCATCTTTGACATCCTCATTATTTATTAACTGCCCTGTACCCAACAGGCTGCCACCAATGTGGAGATGCTCAGATTATGCAGGTTCGATATTCTGCCTGCCTCCAAGGTCACGTCCTCCAGGATGTCTTGCAAGCCAGATTGAAGAGGTACCAGCAAAGATGCAACATGTTCTGTATATGCCAATGCCAGGTTTCAAACAGAGCCCTTTGAATAAGGATGACTTACTACATGGCATCATAGAATCTTTGAATTGTTTAGGTTGGAATAGTCCTCTAAGACCGTTGAGTCCAACTACTCCCCTGGCACTGCCAAGGCCGCCACGTGTCCCCAGCTGCCACATCTACATGGCTTCTAAGTCCCTCCAGGGATGGTGACTTCATCACTGCACTGAGCAACCTGTACCAGGCTGGACAACCCTTTCCATGGAGAAATTATTTCCTAATATCCAGTCTAAACTGGGCCTGATTCCCTGGTTGTCTTGTACATGCTGTGTGTTGACACTCAAGACGATCTGCTCCATAAGCTTCCCTGACACCAAGGTCGGACTGACAGGCCTGTAGATCCCTGGAGGCATCCTGAGCTCTTCAGGACTGCCTCCCAAGGAACCCTGCCAGCCAGGCTCCTCAGCAGGTCAGTCTGCCCTCTGGCTGTCCAAGGAGGCAGTTCTACTGACCACTCTTACTCCTCCGAGAACCCAAATGCTATCATTTTGGGTTTGCTGTGCCCCAGATGGGCTCTGATCACATGGTGGTATCAGACCCTGCTGCTCACTGCTGTTCCCGTTCCTCTGTGCAGCAGCTCTGCATTCTGCACCTGCGTCAGCAAACACAGGACCCAGAGTGTCAGCCAAGAGCTCTGCCATCACCTCTCATACCCTGGGACCAGGAGGGCAGCAGTGTGGGGATCAGTCAGCTGGGCAGGTTGCAACACCACAGTGACCCGTTCCAGCTTTGTCAGCAGGAATAACCCTGCCCTCGGCCGCTGCCTCCCTGTGCACTGGTGCCCGTGACCTTGGGCCCTGCAGTGCCCTGTGCCAACAGCCTGTGACATCCTACTCAGTCCAGGCAGAAACAAATAAACAAACTGATGCTGTCACCTCCCAGCTTTCCTGGGACACCGTGCTTGGGGTTTTTTGGTTTTGCTGACCTCAGAAACTTTCCCTCTATGAGTCATTTGCTGGGAAATAAATCTGATTAGAAAATTCTTGATCCCTTTTAAGATGCTCTTCTGACTCCAGGTACAAGACTGGAAATGAGAAGAAATAGTTTGAGGGTCACATCACTACTACTTTATACCACTAACAGGGATGTTTTGAAATTTTTAGTTGTAACGCAAGGTCTGATACGAAATATCAGCACTTGCCCATATGCACCCTGTGGAAGGAGAGAGGCTGCCAGATTTACCTACATGTTAACAGGAATTTCTGCTCTCACTCCTGCTGCCCCATTGTCCCCACAGGGCCCAGAGGGAGGGTCACTGTGTGCGCAGTCTCCAACAAAATTGGAATTGAGGTAACTGGGATTATTACACCACCACATTTGTGACTAAAGTCATTATGTGCAGAGACAAACTGGTAGCTGAAGGACAGAATTAATATAGTAAGTAATCCTCTCCCTTTAGCAATATCTTTCTGCATGAAATAATGGTTTAATGTCTAACTTTTCCTGGCACACGCATTTCCTCATAACAAACACTTATATGAGATGCAGCTATTTATATTTCAAGGCAAAAACCATGGAGTGTAATGGACTCTACTCTGACTATCTGCCCATGAAGAAATTTCACTATATCATGGGAAACGAGGAAAAACATTTTATTTGGAGGCAATTTCTTTCTGTTTAAGCCATTCTTATCTTCTTGCCTCCTTCTCTGTCAGAAGAAAGGATATTTGCTGTCTCTGAGTCACCTCTCCTGCTTGTGGGGCATCTGTGCTACCCAGGACCCTCTGCCCAGCAGGGACCCTCTGGCAGCTCCTGAGCACCCCTCACAGCAGGGGAACAGCCCTCTCCAGTGGGTTTCCTACTGCCTCCAAAGCGGTGGGGGGGGTGTCAGCTCCAGCAGTGTGAGCCAGCCCAGGGGCAGCGAACTGTTCTCCATGACTGCACTGCCCGGCCCTGGCAGCCCTGGCTGCTCTGACCCTAGTGAGGAGCTCCCGGCTCCGCTGCACTCTTTACCTCCCACAAGGCTAAATCCAGAGAGCTGCACAGTGGGGAAACTTGCCTCCAGGGTGTTGCTGCCTGTACTCACCAAGGCAGATCCCACAAATATCCACACTGTGCACGAGCAATGACGTTTCCCTGGCAGTGACGCTGCTTAGTGAACTGATCCAGATGATGCAGGAAATGTCTGTGTAATGAAGGCAAACGGCACATCTGGCAATTTTCCACCCAACTGACAGAGATAAACAGTTATAAATATACCCTGTTAATAGTGTAAGCATCCTTCAAAGCTTGTTTGGAGAGGCTGCAGGGCCAGTGTGCAGCAAGGGCTGGTGCTGCAGCCAGGCACCTGAGCGGCAGGTCCAGCAGAGCCACAGGTAAAGCAGAGCCACCAGGTACGGCAGAGCCACCAGGCCTGCAGCCCTTGCTAGCAAAATCAAATGTGGCAGTGGCAGAGGGAGAGAGAAGGGTTTGGGAAGCCCTAAGTGCAGCTGGCAGCACTGCCAGGCAGTGGCATCGCCCTGCCAGGTGCTGGCTGAGCCGCACTCCCCCAGCCACAGTGCCAGCTTGGTCAGCAGGTGCTCCAGTGTTCCCACCCTAGGGACTGACATCTGTCCCCCTCCCCAGGGACCCTGTGCAGCAGCCAGCTGTTCTCAGCTGGGATTCAGCCCTAGTTCAATGAGGGGAAGAAAATGGCTGGGTTTTGCCTGGATCTAAGAAAGCTACTGCAGGAGAAGTTGCAATTAATGAAAGGAGTGAAGGATAAGCAAGTCACGGGGGTGGCATCACCTCTTGAAGGATTTTGTCTGAGAAGAATAAGCTGAGAGCAAATCTTCTGACAAATTCAGCTTTTGCCAGGGAATCATAACATTCACATGACATGTGAAGCCAGGACTGGATGCTGTGCCTGCATCGGAAACCTCTCCCTGTCCAGTGCTGTGGTGGAGGATGGAAAAGTGCTCCATTTCTTCAGTGTTCCCAATTCACCTGGGAGAAGTGTCTCATCACAGTTAATTCCTGCTAATTTAATCTAATTTCTCAACACTGTGGCTGGCTGCTCCTCCCCATCCCATGGTTTCAGAGGCTGGAGCGACTGGCCAGTGACAGGAGCTGCTCACAGCAGATGATCTCCTTGGAGCGGGGCGAATGATTTACCATGCTTTGCCCAAGCACTGATAGTTGTGGCTGCCCTGTGGGCTGACCTGTTTGTCCGGTAGACATTTACTGCCTAGCAAAGGTTTACTGCTCAGAATTTTTTTTTCTTAAAAGCCCACTGCAACCCTTCAGGCAACTGTGCCACTTCTTAGTCCCAAGCACTGGCACCAGCACGGCCCTGCCTGGCATGAGACCAGGCTGCGCAGACACTTCATTAGTGACTGTGCTAAGAGGCTGTGATTTGACCACTTTCCAGTTCTCACAATCTGCCAGAGTTCACAACAGAGGAGGGTCCTGCTGAGAGGGGCTTCACAGGTTCTGGAGAGCTGCAGCTCCCAAGCTGGAGAGCAGGCACAGCAGCAAGAACTCAGGCTTATCCCTGTGGTCTGGGGCCATCTCTGTGTCTCTGTAAGACAGAAAAATGGTTTAACTAACATTTTCTTTTAGCAGGAGTTAACAATAAAATTGTAAGCCTGATGTTTTCCTTCCAGATATGGCTACTTATATGGCAAAGTTGATTTGTAAGATTTACGGTATGAGAATTACTCTCAGAAAGTGAAAAACCAAACCCAAGCCAGTGCTCCCAGAGACATATGCTAGAAATCCTCTAATGTCTTGAGAACTATGAGTTTCAACCCCATTCTGTTGGGGAAAACGTCTTTCCATGTAACTCAAAGGGAGTGGCATATGCTACCAGCATGTCCATCTGTCTTGCTCTGTTCGCGGCAGCAGAGCTCTCAGAGCAGCCAGTCAGCCCTAGGTCCTGTCAAAACTGCAGCATTCACTATATTATTTTAAACACAGAAAACAAGAGCTCACAGCAATGTGAGCTGGAGCCCTGACCATGCACACATTGCTTGGGCACTCTCGAGGGTGCTGGGCACACAGCAACACTCCACAATGGAGAGGGAACTGTGGTGCCCCAAATTCTGCGACACAGGAGACTCTTCCTCCTGCGCCATGGAGTGAACCTGCACCTGGAGCACCTGCATGGAGCTGACCTGCTCCTTCAGGGGGGAGGTTACACATAGAGCCGCAGATTGCTGATGGCACTGGCCACATGGCTGCCAGTCCAGTGTGGTGCAGCCTGGTCAGAGATGGTGCTCACAGCCTGGCAGCCTGGCTAGGGGCCATTTACACCATGGGCTACAAATAAAATGCTGTTGCCACATTTCACCATTACCAGGCACACATCTGCTGCCAGAGCCTTCTCAGTGCCACCAAGGAATCCAGCTCTCTCCGTGGGCACAGCTGCTGGGACTCAGCCCACACAGCACCTACAGCTTCTCTGCTATTCACCATCTTGTTACGTATTTAATGAGTTCATGTAACTTTTTGTTAAGCAGTGAGTAAATGTTTTCCAGGGAAGCCAATTCCAGCACATCCTCCGTATGTAGGTTGGATGTTATGGAACAGTGGCTCTGTTGAATGCATTAGCATACAGCACTTCACTTACTCACCTAATCTGCATATTTTGCCCTGAGGACAAAGGAAGCCTTCAGGTGCTCGAAAGCTCAGGTAGCTGTGGCTTCAGCCCCGAGGCAGGTGGGCACAGACAGGTGTGGGGCAGAGTTCTGTGGCTGCCCCATAGCACGGATCTGCCGCTGGCCAAAGGGTCCCTGTCTGACCCTGTTCTCCAGCCAAACCACATTGGGACGTGCACAAGAGAGTGCTACCTCCTGCCAGAACTAGCATTCACCCCTTCCCTGACCTGTGCCCAGGGCAGGGCTGCCTGGGCAAGGGAACCATGCCAGCCCATGCCCCACTGCCCCAGACCCCCATGGCAAGGACAAGCACAGCTGTTCTGCAGCTCCCTCCTGGGCTGTACTCACAGAAGACACACACACGCTTCTGGGATCCAGGCATTTTTTCATCTTGGCACAGAATTCTTCCAGAGATGATTATTTGAAAGATGAGTCACCAAATACAATAGCAAAGACACATCCTTGACTTACTGGCAGAGAAGGGATGTGACCAGCATTAAGTCTCCATGCAATGTCTCCATCACACAGTGTCTGGCGTTTATTCTAAACAGCTCTCAGTCTTGAACAGAACTATTTTTTCACATCAGAAATCCAGCTACTTTCCCATAAGAAATGTTCCTTAATGAAAGGAAAACCAGAGTGTTCATGGATGTAAAAATCATTACAGCACATCTCTGTGTTCTCTGCAGCTGCTGCTTGTTACAGCCTGTTTGCAGGACACACACACACACACACACGGAGATACACATCAGCACCCCTGCACTGCGGGTAGGGAGGTTGTGCCCCTCCAGAGGGGCATAACTATAAGAATCCCCTTGTACAAGAAGTCATATGGAAAAGCCAAGGGGAAATGGGTACCAGTTCCTCCCAGGGTGGGTCCATTTAGACACAAGAGGAAAATTTTTCACAATGAGAACACTCAGAATAATCTCCCCAGGGAAGCAGCCCCTGCTCTGCCTCTCCTGTGGGGGGCTGGAGGGCAGAGCCCACAGCAGAAGCCCCTTCTGTTGGCCGGGGGAGGGCTGGGATGAGCACGGGCACTCCCCAGAGTGGGGGGCTGGGTTCTGTGCTTGCCCCTCAGCTGAGCAGGGGCTGCTGTCTTGTAGCCTACTCCAACTCAACAGTGTGTCCTGACCTTGATGATGTTGGTTTAACTAGGATATGAAATGCAAATATAGCCTAAGCTCAGTAATTCTGGCACCCAGCAGAGAGCCTGAAGGGTGGAACACATCCCAGAAGGGTCAGCAAGAGCAGGAAAAAATTATATAGAGCAAATAAACAGAATAAAAGGCTTCTCACTTCTCCTGGCGCAGAGGGCTGTGGCTCCAGGGGATGCAGGAGATTGTGCTGCTCTGAGGCTTATCCTCAGGGACAAGCTGCTGATCAGGAGACAGAGGAAAGGCGAAGGGCAAGGAGACACTTTGTTTTTAAATAACTGCAAGCCAGGAGGGAGTCACCCCCATTCTGCTCCTTGGCTGACTCTGTGTCACCCATCACCCCACCCCACAGCCAGGGCAGTCACCTCAGGGATTTCCCTGGATCTGGGGCCAGACCTTCGGAGAGGGTTTAATGTGCAATCAGGTTGGGGAAGGGGGACATCCTGGGGGGCAGGGCAGGCCCCATCAAACTTCCCTCCCCTGCTTAGAGGAGCTGCTCTCGCCAGCCTTGTGGGGAGCTGAATATACCCTGAGCTACAGCTGCCAGACACTCAAAAAGTTTGACCATGTTAAAATACCTATTTTCAAATCAGGGTGAGGTTTGCACATTTTCAGTAATCTTAAGCACCCCAAATGCTGATCCTGGCTCTGCCTCCCCCGAGCAGAGCAGCTCACACACCAGTGGAAGGGTGACAGCCCAGCATGTTTTGGCCCCAGGGGGACGGAGGGACCCTGCACTGCCAGCTCTGAGCTGGCTTTGCCCGGCAGTCATCACGGCCTCAGCACCCTCGGCATCCCACTGCTGTGCACCTCGGAGCAACCCACGAGCAGCAGGCCAAGGGACACAGACCTGCAGCACCCTCGGGCCCACCAACGCTGGGACTCCCTGGGGGAAGGACGGAGGGGACACGTTTGGGTTCAGACGTGGCTGAGCTGATATGAGGGGTGTGCCGGGGACACCACGGGCAGAGCCAGAGGCAGGGAGGGCACTGGCAGAGGTGAAGCCACGGGCTGGTGTTCCTGGATGCTGCAGGGCAGCCCCACGACCCACTGGACACGGGAAGCACAGCAGGGCCGGAGGTTCGAGACGAGAGGAGCTCCCTCATTTAGGCATCTGCAGTGATGACTTATTAAAAATTTAAAACACAAATTACAACATTTACTGGGGAAGAATCACTTTCCTACCAATTACAGTTAATAGGGTAAAATTAATGTACCAATTAATATGGCTGCTTTTAAACTCGGTCTAATATGTTAAATACTGTTCCTATCTCTGTAAATGCAGCAAAATAAAGTGATGATCAGGATAGGAGCTAATAAAGTTTTGCTTCTCTGTATTTAAACTATTTGGCATCACTGACTTAAGGCACAGGAAAAAGGAGATTATTTAACATTTTAAGGTTTGTAAGACCCATAAATCATTTCATACATGCCATATTTGTTGAAAAGGATAGAATACATTCAATTTTACAGTATATTAAACTTCATCTAATTTGAACGTAAGAACAGACCAGCAAAATAAATGACCAATTTCTGAAGCAGAAATTACCATTTGGCTGCTGCCATTATGAAGCTGCTGGTATTTTATCATGTTCTTAACATAATATTGCTTGTCTATTGATGCATAGTTATAGTGCTAGCCCAAATTGGAAGGCGGTGAAAGAGGACAGTGCAGAGTTTTTTTTAATAGGCATCATTTGTCAGATGTTATTTCAGAGGTCTTTGCACTGATGATAATATGCAGATTAAAGCAGAAGTAAATAGGGAAAAAAAAGAGAGAGAGAGAGAGAGAGGGGGGAGAGAAAGAGGAAGGCAGAAAGGGAATGAGAATTTCAGCCCATTCTGGCTGCAGCAGGTGGACCAGCCCCGGTGAGGCCAGATAACAGTAATTAATCTGAGTTGAAGAGTTTTTTCTGAAACCCCACAATACTTGACAAAAGGAGGTTTCCTTCCTTGCATCCCAATGCTGCAGGGGCTGCAGGGACAGAAGGAGCACTGAGTCCCAAGGCAGGACCAGGGACAGAGTTCCCCCTACCCGGCATCGTCCCCCTCCTCTCTCCCCTTGCACCAGACACCTGAGCACAAATAAAAATTATGTTTAGTTTGCAAAATAGGAGGAAGGTATCTCCATCCTCTAGAGTTCATTGTTCTGCTAGACTTGGTATTATAGTGGCAATATATTACAGAAAAGAAAAATCAGCTGGCTGCTGCCTCCAGCATGACAATGGAAACCGCAAACACGTTGGAGCTGCAGCTGCCTGGAGAGGACCTGCCAGGGCTCTGCAGGCAGCTGGGGCACCAGGAAGGGTGCTCATGGTGAAGGAGTCCCACGTGCACAGCGTCCCACAGGGCACAGCATGCCATGGGACAAAGGGGCAACTCCAGTGCAGCAGGGACAACCACACTCCAAGACAGGGCCGGCAGTCAGGACCCAGCACCCTTAGTCCCTCCTGCTGCTCCTCAGCCACCTCAAACTCTTCAGGCAGCAGATGCTCTGCCAGGGCAGGACACCATCCCAGGGCAGGGCATGACCCCCAGGATAGGGCACTTCCCAGAGCAAGGCACTCCACTGGCAATGGGATCAGCAGCACCACTGACCCCAGCACCTGCCCCAGTGCTGCCCATGGGCACAGCTGCAGAGCTGAAACATCCTCCTACCCGATCCACCCAAACAGAAATGCTAAGATGGTTCATTTGTATTAAGGCAATCATCCTGTCCCCTAACCCCCTCCACTCCCTCGGTGAAGGGCTTTTGCTTCCTGCAG